ATATATATATATATATATATATATATATATATATATATATATATAAATTTGCTTCAATTTATTACACATTTTTTATGAAAAAAAATTAAAAAACATTATTTTTCTCTACATTATTACTGCGCGCTGTCTTCTCGAGGCACCATACTTGACGACACGGTGCGATGTAGTCGCAGTTCGGCGCGCCTGCTTCAATTATCTCAGTGGCGAGAAGTGCGCATTAACGACAGATCATTTTTATCTTTAGGTGTGAAAAGTAGACGTCGCGTATCGTGACCTTTAACCGTAATTTCCGAGACACTTTGCCATCGCCGACGTGTAATACTTCGATTAGAGTGCCGCAAGCTGCAGTGATTGTTTGCTAGTCGTAGATAGCGCCAGTCTGTACGATGGCTTCAATTTCGTCTTGCCTGGTTGCTGAACTACTGTCCTGGATAGCAATAGATGAAGCTTTTACTACTTTCGAGAAATCTGTACGGTGCAATGTGTGCATCAACTTTTGCTATCCAAATTATTTTTAAAACTTTTGCATTATTTTAAAAACATTGTTTAGGGAATATTTTATGAATGCAATTTCGTATTATGTAAATGTGTTTAATAATTTGTGTATTTTAATATTACATACTATATCCGACCTTACATATTTACGACATATTCTTACTGTTTTCATTACATATTTATGTACGAATTTTGACGTTTCACACTACATATTATTCCGGTCTCTAATGATGAGCAAGGGCGCCTAAACAGGGAGGGAAGGTCCGACGGCCAGGCGACCGAGCAAGGTCAGCGGAGGGGCGCCGCCATAGTGGAAAGGAGATACTAATCTCGTCTCTATGGCGCCTCGTCGCGCACAAAAGGAAGAACCGTGATTCATGCTCTGTGTACTATAAAGGACGTCAGCAGGCCCTGCTCTGAAAGACTCTCCCAATTACCGTTCACTTGAACGGCGAACTCCCCAGTTCTACTCAAGAACATTGGAACATTGGACTTCGTACATTTCGTATTGTAAGGAAAATACATTTGTTTACGCTTTTCGAGACATCTTTTCATTGTCGCTTCTGCTGATAATCAACCACCCTGCAGTGTTCTGGGAGTACTTAGATTCAAAGAATTCCAATATAATTAATTTGTAATGTAAATTTGATTGTACTTGCTGCGCCCTGGCAGCTTTAATCTTCGCAAGTGCAACCGGGGCTCAGCAAGCAACATAATACATCACCATGCCTAGCATGATGCTTGAATTGCATTGCAGCGCAATTGCAGTTACATAAGCGGTATTATTATGTTTTCATTACAAGCGGAGTAACGTAGTAATTTATTCGCCACATTACAACGTTTGGTAAATGAGTGAATAAAATTTCAGATCGCTTGGAGAGGTCGAGTAGGATTGGAAAGGTTCGCACATCATGAGTAGTGAATTGGCTATTGTATGTATGTTAAAGTTTCCACCAGGATACTTTGAGAGGACCACTAGACACAATTGAATAGGTTCTCAGAACCGCGAGTTGTGTATTGGATATATAAGTAAGTTTCCTAATGCGTTGGAATGTCTTGGTAATTTTGAGTTAATACATGACATGCAAGATGGGAAGCCCAAGTTATTTGTTGAGAAAAATAAATATTTGTCAAAAGTCATTGGAGCCGTTGGCGGGCAGTCAAATAGACATTTAATATGTAAAGTTAAGACGATTGAGATGCTACAGATTGGTAACACGAGATTTTAGAAACCGATCCTCTACTGTGATCAATGTTAGCATCTTCCTGTCCAAGTCTCTTCACGCAATTTCTGAACCATATCGAATGGGCAGGCGCGGGGCACCGCCCCTGCCGGAACAATCTCTAAATTCCCGACTGGTCTCCCGACATGTGTGGCAGTGTAGTGCATGCGTGTGCATGTAAGGGGACAGAAAAGATCCCGCGCGGTCTGTGGCCCGTTTGTTAAGGTTCTACTCCGGCATAAGTCTGGTGATGAACGGAGAAACCACGGAAAATTACCGATCAGATCTGCCGGTCACTAGAATTCTTCTCCAGACAGCGGCTGAATTCTTGAGGTCGACTTAGCTTCAGAACGGCTACGCTCCTCCCAGCCTAGCCCATAGAAGTGTCATCTACAGAAGTGTTTAATTCCATAAGCGTAAGTCTCGTTATGTTCCGTGAGCGGGCGGGGTTCTTCTCCCGAGGGAACACGAAATCCGGCGCCACTCTACATGTCGGCTTGTCGGGTTTCCCTCCTTCAGGTGCGGGGGGAACCGCTCCAGCCGGGACCAGCACCGACATCCGACTGGTCTCCCAATATGTGTAATGCATATAAGTGCAAGTGTGTGTAAGTGCATGGAAGTGTAGGTGTGTGCGTAGGAGTAGAGGAAGAGACAAGAAGGAAGGAAAAATCGCGTGCGGTGCATAGCCCCGTTGTTAGGGTACTGCTCCGGCATTCACTTCATTTCATCTGAGAAACCACGAAAAATTACCGATCACAGCAACCGGCCGGTAGAATTCTCCTTCAGACAGTGGCTGAATTCGACCTAGTGTCAAAAATCCGCCGTATTAGCTCGAACCCTAGGGTCTCCTGGTCAAAATTGCTCTAGTGTCAGCTGGCTCCGCATAGCTCTGAGTTAATTTCGGCCGGTCGAATCCAGGGACGCCATAACAAGTCGAACGTAATTTACATTTTCGACGATATATTTCCTTTTGAACATATGTTTCAATCTCATGAATTATATCTGGAGTAATAGAGTTCCACTCTTGCTCGGATCTACAATCCCACCGAGCCGCGCGCGAGACTAAATTTAAGACTTGTGACATCGTTTTGCGGCGTCAACAACGCCATCTACGGTCGCGATGCTTAATCGAAATTTGACGTTCTCTTCGTCTAGAAAATCACATTAATAATAAGGCGCGCAGGTAGTGCGGATGCCAAGATACAGGCGATAACAATTTAACATGTTTTCGTTACATGCAGTTTTACCAAACGACTCGGTAGATTTTAAAGTTATTTCTCGTTAGAAGTTTTCCAGTCATTGGATAATGTAAACATCCTGGAAAGACGCGCTCTAATGATAGGAACTGCTCCCAAGGAAATAAATTGGCTGAAACATAAATCACTTTTAATAATTTCTTGTGTCAAAAATTCACTAAACATGTTATCTCAGATTCATTAGTGTTTTTGGCAGGAAAAGTCATAATTTTGTGGACACTGCAATTTATTAAGAATATATGATTTATTAGGTACTGTATGTATTTTGAGGTATATTTTTGTTAGCCCTACGATCTATCGGCACAAATGAGGTCTGACGACAACAAATTGTTGGAAATCGGCGAAGGTATTTTAGAACTTTT